GGCTGAAGTGGAGCGTATAAGAAATTGGATCAGTCTGAATGTCTAAGTTAAACCAAAGTACCGAATACCAAATCCACACTACTCGGTAGAGAGATAAAGATTTGTTGTCCCCACTTTGGTCGCTCTAACTCCACGGTAAAGTTGAGAAAACAAGATGAAACCACTACTGTAGAATGAAAGAAGACGGCGACTAAACTAAAGGCCCCACAATCTTGATATTCATACCTGGCTTTTGAGGAATGCTCTGTAGCTTCAGGTCATCATACATATCATTTATTGTATGAAATTGTGTTAAGTTGATTCGTTAGATACAATCAGATGAAAAAGAAAAGGAATTTTTTCGAGATTGTGACTGTTGATTTGAGCGTAGAATTCTGAACACGAAACCCTTATATAGCACAATTCACAGAAATTGGGGACAATAATGGTGAAAGTTTGCCCGCATTTTACATTTTAATTGGATCTTGGATGATCTTGTTAGTCATTTCATGCTACTCCCAGCCTGCTTGATGATAATTGAAGTTGCATGTGAGAAGACCGAACATCTAACTCCCTTCCTGTGGTTTTTCGTGTATTTTGTGCACACACGCCTCGTGCCTATTGGTTCCATGGTGTCCAATCTAATTGAGGTCTCCATACTCAGAATGAATTTCGGTTTTAGAAACCTCTATCGGATGTCTTCTATTCGTACACGTGACTATATGAATTTTACTCATAATATTCCGATTTTTGGCTTCTTGTATCCTGAGGTCCGTCAAAGAATGGTCTCCTGCTCTGACGATGGCGGTCACAGTGACTTGACGGACTAAAAGCAGTTCGGCATGGATTTAGCGCATTTTAGGGTGGTGCAAAGAGGACTTAATCACTCAAATCAACACTCGTAATTGAAAAACAATCCTTCTTTGATTTCGGCTGAGGTCAATGTACACTTCTCTTCAACCCAGTCAATTTAGACTCCTCAAATTTCCAAATATATACCAGAATTAAGATGAGTTTGCAAAATTGACCAATCTCTGTTTTCAATGGAGCATCCAAGACCGGTTTAAAATCCCTTTTTGGCTTATATTAGAAGTTGTCTATCGCAACTTCGGCTCATCTTCTGCATGATTGACAAACTCACATGGTGCAGTTCTTACGCCATACCTTCTAAGCTTACTTTGATAACTATCGCTAACTCAAAATAGCATTGTCTTTATTTATCTTTTATAAAATAAGTACTATATTCACTCAGTTTAAATTATATAGCATATATAACCCCTTTTTATTCTCTCATTCTGCAAGCGTTCAAGTAGTTTTTAATATGTAAATAAGACACGAATCCAAACGGTTAATGCTTAGATTTATTCAGCCAGGACGACAACACCCTTTGGGAAATCCAATAACTTTATTAGGCCTATTCATGTCGTGAAAAATACCAATTATCCTCATTGGCATCATTTTCATCTTCATCGACAGGTAGGCTCGAAATCGGGTGAAATTGGCCAAAAGACAAACATATTGCCCATTTAAATATCTGGCTCTAATGACAGTGAAAAATAGTATTATCTTGATTTTCAGGGTAGAGTAGTATATTCTCAGCTAGCAACTGTTGAGGATGTTTTTCAACTCTGATATCATTCCCGTTGTTCTGTCTCTAGATCTGCACTCTTGGGGTTAGAATCCCACTTGACGTCGTTGAAGTAATCGAGACGATGTCGATGTAGCCATCCACTTTAAATGAAAAGGTGCTTTTTTGACGCATCGTACCATGAATTTGGTTGCTATACTAATCCTAAGTCCTATGCGCACCATAATGTAATATTATTATTGCATGAAGATTGCAGCTTGTCCTGAAAATGACTTTAGTTGAAATCGAGTATTCCGGAGGATCTTTTTCGTCATTAGTCCAATATGCTTTAGCAAAACCATGAAGAAGCCGTGATTCCCATGAAGGCTTGGCGAGTAAATGCCATTCATAATTAACAATTATTTTGTCTTGCGAAATAATGAAGCCTTTGTATGGTATGTTGCAGAAAGGGGCATTATATGAGGCATATGTCTTCGTAAGCCACGGTTACATATAACGACGATATAAATCAATAGGTCCTAGTCATTTTCGAGGAAGTGGGGCTGCGGATGAATACCCTAAGGGTTTTTACTTAACTTATAGCAACGCTTCAGCAGTGAAGCATTTTTCGCCTCCCTCAGAAGTCTGATGCACTTGTCCTGTACTGCAACGTACCTAAAACTACGTGATTTGGTCGCAATTTGAAGCCGCTTTAAGGCGAAATCGGAACTGATGTTCACGGAGTATGAGGCTACACGTGGAGTATCATGATTTCTTATTAAGTCCTATCATTTAGCTCAACTTGTGAAAGTCATTATTTCGTTGAAAAAGCATCGTTTTGGGTTCACTTCGCGAAGTGACGAAGGCGAGGAGTCCGTTGCTGGTTTTTTAGCCTCCAATCACTTCCATGTAGAAAAATAAATTTTCTATAGACTAACCTGGCGCGTCAATGGGAATCGACCTGCTACCGAAAATAAGCTTAATTCCTGGAAAAAACAAGCCGATTCCATTGAATATAAAGCAGTGAGGAGACAGTCAAAAGTCCCAAAAAGCTTAGGCTTAATTGTCCATAGCCTGGGATACAAGATAAAAGGGTACGGAGAAAGTGTAATCTGATTGGTTTCGGTGCAGCAAATGACTAGAAGAAACACAGCGACTAAGTGCACTACGTAAAGTTTTATTTAATCCCTGCAAACGGAGATTGCTTAAACGGTGAAAATTTATAGTAATATGGGAAGTTTGCATATAAAATAGACTGGAAACTCGATAATGCTACTCACACGAGACTTAAGTAGTTTTCTCAATTGTGCGACGCAACAGTCAAGTCAAAGTGAATAAGTTATTCAACTGGATTTACATTTTTCCGTATGTAGCAAGAAAAAGCAGACGGAAATTAATCCGTTTCGGCCACACCGGTTCCAAATACCTCCATGTTGCACCGACACTGAATCAGTCCGGGACGTATTGGGGGGAATAGCCGATATTGTTACGAAGGTTCACTTCTTCCTGCTTCTCAACGCAGACCTCCTGATGAGACCGGGTCCGAGTCCGGCTAGTGCTGATGATGAGGCGCCGAGGCGATCTCGAATCTGTCGAGATGAGAAAAGCCTGACACAGTTAACTTTGATGCCAGACATCTGAATTTTCCTTCAACTCATCTCGGCCAGTGCCTCTTAGTCTAACAAAATATTTGTCTAAACTGCTTCATCTTGATGACAAATCTGACCTCTAGTGACAACGCGGTTTCAGTCTCGCATCCTTCGCCCCCTCAGTGGGACTCAAACCAACATTTGGGCCTGCTTTCTAACCCGAAATCCTGCAAAGGCTTGGCTAATACGGAAATGTCAGGTTAGAATTATATCAATTATGTGCGAGAGGATGGGACTAGAGAGAGGAAAAAATCAAGAGGAATCCCATCAAACATGTCACAATGGTACCAAATGTTATAGTTCGGATAAACTTTGTCTTGACGAAATGTAACCAACACCAAATTGGATTGAGAGCCAACCTGTTCTACCTCTTATCTTCACATAAACATGCCAAAATCCGCACCACAACCTTTGAGCTACATATAAAACGCAACACAACTTAGTTCGCCAATTTTTCTCCAGACCTGTAGGCTACAACTTTACCTCACACTTTGTCAACTCCATACATTTGCATTATATTTCTTCATCATATCCCGGCGCAAATATTCTCACTCCACCATACAGAACCACACCTTCCCTTCTTACCTCCGCTCCAAACATTTTCGTGGAAATACCCCTCATCACACGACTGAACACAAAGCCCACCTCCGATTCACAGCTCGGAGCGCTACATCATCTTTTAACACTTTTTGTCTCGCAAATTCCCACTAGGCTTCCCTTGCGTTGGGTGTACATATAGACTCTCTCAACGAAAACTGCACTCTTCCCTACAGCACCTTACAGCCATTCACTCTTAGAAAATCCCAGCACTTGATTTTCCGAGAACCCAAAATCTCATTAGCACATAAAATGCATTCACCCAATTTCGTTTAAGATGATGAAGGACTGGTAA